GAGATTTCATCTTCACAAAGATGATTACTAAAAACTTTCAAGAATATTTTAAAATTATGTTACCAAAATCTTTTGGTTCAATGGTTTAGGAGGATAAGTATTTAAGGGACTAATATGATTTTTGGTTTTTATCTCATATGTGATGTTAGAATTTACATTTTTTATGCTATAATACTTCTAGCATTTTAACATGATAATCCAATCATGTATGGTTCTTGATTTATTTCTAAAAGTTATAATTAATCTTAGTTTTTCACTCCAATTTTTTATTAATCAAAAGAATATATTTTATCTATTTGGTAATAATGTTGTCAAATAATTATCTATGACGGTATAGGACATCACAATAAAAATTAAACTATAAAAGAGATTACCTAAAGTTTTTTTCTTACTCTTTTTAGGCTTTGTCAATTTCTTGATTACATTTTTATAAAAAAAAATCCTTGCAACTGAGGTCTAGCACTGAATGGTAAACTCATTACAATCATTTCAATTGCTACCTCACTTCTACTTTGCAAATTAGTTTTACTTTTAACTTTACATGTTACAATATAAAATTAATAAACCATATTCATTTAAGGGTAAACTTGTAAAGTTTAATTTTGTTATTTAATCTTCATTGTTTTAGATTATAGATTATAGATGAATAGATCCTATTTTAATTTTTTACTAATCTATTCTCTTTACCATCACTATTTTAATTCTCACAGTAATAAATATTAAAATTGACTTACAATAAATATGATACTTGTGCCAATCTTTAATGTGAGTAAAAAAATTTTTAAAGTAAGGACCAATTTTTAGACAAAATAGCAATCCATGAATGAGATAGTAGTAGAAATTTGGTTTTATGTAATGCCTATATAGCAAATTATCAATAAATTGTAATCTTTATATTATTAATATATTCTTAGTGAGCTTTCATCAGAGAAAGTATATTAAAAATAATAGTAAATTCTATTGTCACATGAGTGGTAATTATCTTAAAAGTATAAAAATTTAAGATCTATATTGATTGTTTATGGTGAAATCAAATGGTTTAGCATATCATACATTGGTAAATTTTATTTTAAATTGTTATTTTTAATTAGTTTTAATTAAAAATTCTTCTCTTTTTATTTGTTTAAATAATTTTAAAATTACTTATTTTTTGTACTTAATTAATTATAATTTTTGTAGATTTGACATTCTTCTTATATATTACTTTATTATTTTATTACTTAAGTAACTACTACACTTATTAATAAATTTTAGCCCATTAATTTTTCTTGGGATAATATACCATGAATCTCATCTATTCATTTCTTGCAAAGTTCTAATGAAATTGAAAATTAATATAAAGCATTGATACATAAATCACTTCCTAATCACAATAGTAGTTCATATGTAATATCATCCGTCACAAACATGGTATAGTTAATATTAGTTGAAACTTCAAAAGGGAAAAAAAAAAAGAAGCCACTTTACAATTTGAGCACAAGGACATTGACGAAGACTTGAATCATAATACCATAACCAAGACTCAATCAAGTCTTTAAAGAAATCGTTTTACAATTTAAACACGATGGCATTGATGAAGACTAGTCTTTAAAAATATTATTTCTCACCATTCAATTAATTCTTGAAAAAAAATTAGAAGTTAATATTTTTAAATATAAAAAAA